AGCAGCATTCTAATCATGTTAGAAACACGCAAGCAGCATTCTAATCATGCTAGAAACATGCAAGCGACGTGTTAAAGCAGTAGGGATGGGCGTATCGATCCTGAAGTATCGATATATCGATACTGATGCAAGTATCGAAAGTACCAATACTCAAATAAAAAATATCAATACTAAGGTGTTTTATTTACCAGTGATTTTGTTTATTTAACAAAAATAATAATGCATACATTATGCATTGAATTGGACGAATAACCTAATTTAGCGATTAATTGTGTAGGATAGAACTGTTTTCCTGCTCATCTGAACCAATCAATCACAGAGAGCGTTCACTCGCTTCTGACCTCCTGACAGTGCATTCAAACAGGGCTGCAGTTCCCAAAAGTGTCATAAGAAACCATTGATGCTTTTGGGAACTGCAGCCCAGAACAATGCTTATCAGAGGACAGAAAAAACATATGTTTGAGTTATTTCACTATAAATAAACTGAAATTGTAGCCTACATAGTTTGTGCAATTACATTTATTTAAACTGAACGTTAAAAGTTCATATTGATCATGTTCTATTCTGTAATGTTAATATAAATCATACACTGTCAGAATAAAAACGTTGCATTTTATGCGTGCAACAGCCCGTCACTGGCAGTCCCTTGTGAAAACGAACCCTGGTTTTACTAAAGTTCAACTATAGTATTTGTTGATTTCCATGGTTACCCCTACAGTGAACATTTTAACAAAAATATAACTTAATATGTTGCAATTAAGGCGTATTGAATGTTAAAATGTGTTTCAAATATAGTTAGTGGGTATCATAACCCATTTTACTGTTAGTAATTTAATAATTTCATGAATTTCATGATTTAAAAGTTCAGTTTAGAAGTATCGGTATCGATATCGACGATACTGGCCTTTAAGAGTATCGGTACCGTATCGAAAACAAAATATCGCACATCCCTGTAAAGCAGCACTGTGTAACTTTTGTCGCTCTAGCGGTTAATAAACAGAACTGCACACATCCCGCGGAAGAACATTCCAACTGGATCTACTTCTCTAAGTGTATGTCTATAGCGATTCACGCAGGTATGTGTTACTCCGCAGCGGTGACCAGCCTACAATAGTCCGAATATAAGTACTTATTATAAGTGTACCGGAGTGATTCGGAACAAGACAAAACGCGGTTTGGAAGATGAATTCATGATGCACTCGCTCATTATATACATTTAGCACAGTGCTGCTAGAAACACGGTAAGATCCCGTGCCTGAAATCTCGCGGAATCTGACTGAGCTGTCACTCAAACCTCGCGATATTTGAATTTGAAGGCGGCTTGTGGGCCCGTCTCTTCTGCACAGGAACGCTGCTCCTGACATTTGAATGAAAAACATCCTCCCGAGAGCGCAAAACGATGGCTTCGGCTCTGGAGCAGTTCGTGAATAACGTGCGGCAACTCTCCGCTCAAGGTAACTTCTTTTACACGGTTCTCCAACACTCAGGCTGACGATTACATGAGCCGTCTAGCTTAATGCTAAAAGCCGTTAGCATGCTAGTTGTTTATATTTCAGGCAGTAACACATGGCATTGTTTATCTTATTCTATTCGTCCAACCAGAAATACAAACAAATGTTGCAGAATAATTACACGTCGCAGCTACTAACAGTTACTTGAACCGATTAGCTTTTACTCCAGCGAAATGACTAGTCATTTATCAAATATGGTATAAAATACCATCATAACAATGTTACTCTTGAGTTTCTCTGTCATGTAGAGCCAATCTGCATGAAGAAGGACGGGTTATCGTCATTCTAAGCTGAATATGAGATCTTAATTGCATGTATATTTGCATTAAGTCGTGTTTTCACTGATAATGCTGTGTTTCTCAGGTCAGATGACTCAACTGTGTGAGCTGATCAATAAAAGTGGCGAGCTTCTGGCCAAGAATCTCTCCCATCTGGACACTGTTCTTGGAGCGCTGGACATCCAGGAACATTCCCTCGGGGTTTTAGCTGTCCTGTAAGTCAATGTCTTGTTGAATGCTATTAGATCAGGGGTCTTCTCTGCCCGTCTGATAGGGTTGGTGCTTCTTTTAATTGTATTGCAGGTTTGTGAAGTTTTCCATGCCAAGCATCCCTGATTTTGAGACCCTGTTTTCCCAAGTCCAACTCTTCATCAGCACCTGCAATGGAGAGCACATCCGATACGCCACAGACACATGTATGAAAACACGTCAGCAGTATTTGGCATCATTTTTTAATCTGTGCTAATATTTTCAGTTTTTTTTATTCCTGCGTACAGTTGCTGGGCTGTGCCACCAGTTGACAAACGCCCTTGTAGAAAAAAAACAGGCAAGTGTCCCTCTTGTCGTTTCGGAGGTTATCTTTAAATGACAAAACTGACATTAAGTGGTCTTCTGTTTTACAGCCCTTACGTGGAATAAGTACACTTAAACAGGCCATAGACAAGATGCAGATGAACACAAACCAGCTTACCTCAGTGCACGCAGACCTGTGTCAGGTGAGTCTGAAAGCAGAACAGCAGTGAAAAATCGGTAGTTCACCCAAAATACTCACCCTCAAGTCATCCGAGATTAGGATGAGTTTGTTAGTTTTATATATATATATATATTCATTTAAATAATTTTAATGTACAACTTAATGACCAAATAAAAAGCACATCAAAATCATTGTGATTTTGTGATGTTCACAATTAATGTATGACATATTGTAAATATTCTAGTATATTTTCTATCATCATGTTTAATTTCCCAGTTAATAAGCATTCATTCTACTCTTTTTAGAATTAAGAAAGTCTTTCTTTTTATGACATTTAAAATCATATCGTGATATTTATGTATTTTTTCTGAAATGGTTTAAAGAGGTTTTTTTTTTTGTGGTTATTGTGTTACTATTTATCCTTTTTTTTAAGTATTTTTAACTAAACATCAGTTATGTCTCAGTATATTAAAAAACGTTTAATACAAGAAGTAAAAAAAAAAAAATCTAGGCATGTTTTTCACTAACTAAACGGAGACATTTAAACATTTTGAGTTTTATGCATACGAATACACATTAATAAACAATAGCATTTACCTACATGCTAAAACATTTGATGGAGATTTCATTAAATCTCATTAAGTGATGGCACTAATGAATCAATTGATTGAGATGAACCGATTCACAAACATGAAATTTAATGAAACTTAACGAAAACTAAATAGCACATTAAAATCATTGTGATGGTCACAATAAATATGGCATTATGAATATATTGTAAACACCCAGTATTTATTTTCATGTCTAATTTCCTAGTAAATAAGCACCTATTTTGTGTTTTCTGTCTATTTTCAGGCAATAACCACTCCGGCGATGGCTGTCAGTCACATCATGTTAGAAGCATACAAGAAGTACATCCTGGTGTCCCTCATCCTTCATGGCAAATTACAGCAGCTCCCCAAATACACATCACAGATCGTGGGCCGCTTCATCAAGGTGAGTGTTTCTGCCTCGACACTGTGGCTTTGTAAAGTGTGACTGTAAAGACCCCGTGAGCTCATCATGTTTTCTGTGTGTGTGTTTGTGATGTAAAGCCCCTCAGTAATGCTTACCACGAGCTGGCTCAGGTCTACGCCACCAACAACCCCTCCGAGCTGCGCACTGTGGTCAACAAACACAGCGAGACGTTTGCACGAGACAGCAACACCGGCCTGGTCAAACAGTGCCTGTCCTCGCTCTACAAGAAAAACATTCAGAGGCTCACCAAGGTCTGAACCTACACGAATCCGATGCTTTGCATGCATTAGAGCAATGTACTGTTAGTAATTCATTGCAGATTAATCGCACCTCAATTTGGGCTATGAAATTACCCCCCAAAAGATCATTTGAAGTCATTATTGTGTTAAGTGAGAAAAGCATCGAATAGACATGACAAAAAAGTAGCTTTCTTATGTTGGCCCCTAAACTGGGTCGTAACATTTAGAAAGAAATATTTTGATTCAACAACTTTTAAGGCTACAATATGGCCATAACATTGTTTTCAGAAGCGCATCTCAAGTGGCGTCCATTAGGACAGCATAAATAATGCGGAGATTAATGGGTTTAAAAAAAAATTTTTTTATGAAGTATTAAAATATGAAACTGAAAATGCAAGTAGGAGTCACCAGTCTTAATGAGTGAATCATTCATTCAACTGATTCATTCAGAAACGAAGCAAATGACTGTATTCATGAATGAGACTCACTCGATTCGTTAGTTTCATTCAGTAACGAATCACGCACAGCAGTTCTGCTGTGGCTTTGATTTGAACTTTTTTCGTTTTGAGCAAAATAGACAATATTGTGTCTCAAATATAACAGAAATGGTTGTTTAGAATCAATTTTCAACTCGTTTGCAATTGTGCAGATATTCTGAAAAACCGCACTCTTGCTGGTGTGATATCGCTATACTATATCATATGATATAAATATAAGAGGGTGGGGTTTTTTGCCCTCATATCTTGAATTTTAGGCTCGTATAACTGCATTCTAATAGGCTTCATCACGCAGTCAAGTCGTCCTGCATCATGTTGATCAGAAACTGCATCATAATTAAACGCACCAAATTAACGTGCGAAATGTACAGCACAAATTTTTCGGTTTTGTAAATGGTAATCTCTGTTGTTGTGATTGACAGACGTTCTTGACGTTATCCTTACAAGACATGGCGAGTCGAGTTCAGCTCTCCGGCCCTCAAGAAGCCGAGAAATACGTCCTATATATGGTATGAAATCAGCCTCGTCCTCGTTATTTTACATCTGAATCACTGGATGTTTCATATTTATTCAACATTTGAGGTTTGTTAGTGCTCGAATCTTTGCTCCTTCGTCTCCCAGATCGAGGATGGAGAGATTTATGCAAATATTAACCAGAAAGATGGCATGGTCTGTTTCCATGACAACCCTGAGAAATACAACAACCCTGCGATGCTCCACAAAATCGACCAAGAGGTTTGTAATGATAAAACAGTGCTTTTCTTCATTCAGTGCTAGTGTACAAGAGAACGAGACCGTGAAACCTAAAATTAGACACCAGAGAACAGCATGCATTATATATTTACACCCTCATTATTTTTCTTATCTTATTAATCACCATTTCTTTCAAGAATATTTGAGAGAATTATTAATAACATGCATAGCAAACATGAATATATTTCAAAATGCTCAACGAATAATACTCTGAAGATTAGGGAAGTAGCGATAATAGTTTTGTTATTTGACGTGTTTCAGTTTCACAAATGTGCAGCATTTTATCTGAGAAATAATAAAAGGACATCTTTTCGTTTAGAATTGTAACATCCCTGCTGAAGATCATAAAAATGATTTTCAAATCAACATAAATGAGATAAATAAAACCATTTATTATTATATAATATTATAAATACAGTAAAAACTGCAATATGAGATTATTACAATAGAAAATAATTTTTTTCTATTTTCATTCATTGTATTTATTATAATCTAAAAATAATTTTAGATACAGTAATTATACAATATATAAAATACTATAAATACAGTAATGTTGTGAAATATTACAATTTAAAATAACTTATTTTTTATTATAATATAAAACAATTGTAATGTATTATAAATACAGTAAAAACTGTATTATGAGATTATTACAATATAAAATAATTTTTTCAATTAATGTTTCTATTTTCATTTATCTTATTTATTTTAATATATAAATAATGTTATATAATATATAAAATACTATTTTAAAAACTGTAATGTTGTGAAATATTATTACAATTTAAAATAACTTTTATTTTGTATTTTATAGCATTTAAAAAAAATTAAGTATTCTGAATTAATTGAAAATTTGTGGTGTTCAAGATCTAATTGAACACTTGTAATACACTGCAAGTTTTAGGACTTTGAGAAATGCAAATGATTCTGCACTACTTGAAATACGATATAATGTTTATGCACCACTGCATTAATATGTGTCCCTGCAGCACAGAAGCAGTGTTAAGTCGCTGGGGGATATTTGTAGCAATAGCCAACAATACATTGTATGGGTCACAATTATACATTTCTCTTTTATGCCAAAAATCATTAGGATATTAAGTAAAGATCATGTTCCATGAAGATATTTTGTACATTTCCTACCGTAAATATATCAAAACTTAATGTTTGATTAGTAATATGCATTGCTAAGACCTTCATTTGAACAACTTTAAAGATGATTTTCTCAATATTTAGATTTTTTTGCACCCTCAGATTCCAGATTTTCATATATTGTCCTCTCCTAACAAACCACACATCAATGGAAAGCTTATTTATTCAGCTTTCAGCTGATGCATACATCTCAATTTAAAAAAATTGACCCTTATGACTGGTTTGGTGCTCCAGAGGCACATATAATGTTTGTTAACGAGTCGTTTTGTAGTGTTAGCCTTTAAACACCTGACTTGCGTTAATCTATTTAGACTCATTTATACGTTATTGTAGGGTTTTTGAGTCTGATGTCCCGCTGTTATCTGTCTTTGGCTCTGATGCAGATGCTGAAATGTATAGAGTTGGATGAAAAACTAAAGTCCATGGATCAAGAAATCACTGTAAACCCCCAGTTCGTGCAAAAGGTACTAGTTCGAACACGCTCATGAATCACTGGTTCAGTTAGACTTCTACGCTGTGTAACCAGGTGGTCTGTTCTGTGTTTTAGAGTATGGGAATGCAAGAGGATGACGTCGGCAGCAAGACGTCGAGCTACTCTTGAGACCGTTGGGCGGATCGCTGCTTTACTCGCATCCCCTTCCTCATCCCAAAGCTGGAAGACCTTCATGAAAGCAAAATCAGTTTGAATGTGGACTATATTGGAGGAAAACATAAATGTGTGGAATGACCTTTTCTTTTTGGTTCTGTCACCGCGCACCCTAAACAAGAACTCCTTTTTGTCAGTGTTTATTTATCAGTGCTTGGTTGGCGTACTGGTCATACAAATAAAGATACTGGACTCCTTCGTTCAAACGAGTTGTGGAGATCACATCTGTATGCTCGTCTTTATTGCAACACCACAGAATGAAATAAAGAAACCATCTTAAGATCTTCTGAATGATGCATCTGCAAACTCTGCCGTGTGTGTTCGTCTCCAGAATCTGAATAACACACAAACACGTTTGGGTCATATTTAACCTAATTAAAAAACTGAGAATTTCAAAAAGAAAAAAAAAGCTTTATTTTCTTGTAATATTATTCATTTTTTATTTTTGGGGTGTCACTACCAAAGGGTTACGGTTCATACATTTGAGGTTTGTCTTGTTAAATTTAACTCACTTTCTTGTGATATAATGTATAAACCCATAAAGTTTCTAGAGAGGAAAGTATTTCTGTCACAACAAATTGAGGTTCGTCTTGCTCAATAGGGTTCATTTTCTTGTAATATTCATAAACAATTATTGCAGATATTGGCGTGTTTCTTGAGGAAGGTCACTACCAAAAGGTCTGTCATGTTAAATTTCAATCATCTTCTTTGTAATATCTCTAAACACTTTATTGATCTTGTTAAATGTTAATTTTACTGATGAAAATAGGCTTCATTTTCTTGTAATATTATTTTTAAACGATTTATTGATGATATTGGGGTGTTTCTCGATCTTATGATTTTGTATATCCCCACGTCACTACCACATTAGATCATAATATTGTCTTATTAAAATTAAATCTTGTAATATACTATTTATAAACAATTTATTGATGATACTGGGATGTTTCTTAAGAGGACTTGAGGAAGGTCACTACCAAAAGGTCTGTCATGTTAAATTTCAATCATCTTCTTTGTAATATCTCTAAACACTTTATTGATCTTGTTAAATGTTAATTTTACTGATGAAAATAGGCTTCATTTTCTTGTAATATTATTTTTAAACGATTTATTGATGATATTGGGGTGTTTCTCGATCTTATGATTTTGTATATCCCCACGTCACTACCACATTAGATCATAAAATTGTCAATATTGTCTTATTAAAATTCAATCTTGTAATATACTATTTATAAACAATTTATTGATGATACTGGGATGTTTCTTAAGAGGAATGTCTTGTATTCCCGTGTCATAAAATTAGTTAAATTTCAATTAATAAATGATTTATTGATGATATCGGGGTGATTTTTCATGCCAGTACAACATTAGACCACAATATTGTCAATATTAACATTAAATTTCAATCTTGTAATACTACTTATAAACAATTTATTGATGATACTGGGATGTTTCTTGAGAGGAACGTCTTGTATTCCTGTGTAACTATCACACAAGACCATACAACTGTCATTTGTCTTGTTAAATTTCAATTTATTTTCATGCAATGATATTTATAAGCAATTTATTGATGATATTGGGATGTTTTTTGAGAGGAATCACACAAGATCAGTTTCTGTTTAACTGCAAATAGACTTAAATGTCTTGAAGCATAATCTAAGTTTGTATTTTATATATGGGCCTAAGATGTGTCACTCTTAAATGTGATCAACAAAGCAATGCAGGTAGGCATGTGGACCGTGTGTTTTCTACTCGAATGACATAACCAGCAAGAAAAGAAGGTGCGACCGCAGCCAATCACAGGCGCCCATGCGGCGCACAAGCCTTTAAACAAAGACAAGCGGTCGCGCCGGCCAATCAGAATTCGGAGTTCTCGAAAGTGGGCGGGCGTTTATCGGAAATGACACCAATCGCAGTCACGCACTGCAAGCCATCCGCCAATCAGCGTTCGACGTCGCAAGGATCGCGTCGCCCACGGTGCTCGGTTGAATTCCATTGCCGTCCATTAAAACAGCCGACTTAGAAAATACAACATCAAAGTGTGCTCAGCGCAACCCCAAGCCCGTGTGCTCAATTCCAGTCAAGGATGACACCCTGAATAGCCGCATGTGTGAGCACGCATCTGCGACCCTGTCGTGGCTCGCCGCATTGCCTGGCAAAACGCAACAATCGCTGGATAATTCTCCTCGTGCTTTCAGCTGAGCTTGTTTCATCGCTGAAATACAGAGGAACTCGGATGTGGTTTGTGTCATGAGTCCGGCCGGGTGCTCCCATGTGAGCGGGTTCAAAGTGGACAACTGGAAGCAGAATCTGCGGCTCATATACCAGTGCTTTGTGTGGAGCGGCTCTGTCGAAACCAGGAAACGCAAGGTAACGTTAAATAGCATGCATCAGAGCCCAGTGCAAGTCGCATTGCTCTCTCAAACACAAACGCGTGTGTAATTCGCGAGGCTAACGCTCTTTATTGTCAGCGAGGGATCTGAATCCACGTCCATCTCTGTGTGCACGCAAGTGGATGCATTGGCTGGCCTGCGCAGACTCCCTATGCATTGGTTTCATAGGGCTGGACGTGGGATGCTTTTCCGCTACCAGTGTTTTTTAGTTGCTTTAGGGAGTTGAATTAGTCATTTCGAGCATGCAACACTTTCCTTGGATCTCAGACGCTATCTGATGCAAAGCGAGACTTGCCAGGCCTAAAACGCATTGATTGCCCAATACACGAATAAAGGTTTCAGTTTCACAGTTCATGACGGAATCTGGCTATTGTGTGGCCGGGCTAAGACGTTATGTTCACTGCCTAAACATCTCCACTTTAATATGCCCTTTATTATTATATCCACGATGGAGTGTGTGAGAACGATTCGCGAACCGGTTGTTCTTTTGAGTCGGATCATTTTAAGTGAGTCGTTTGAACCGGTTTAAATCATTCGTTCACGAGCTGCACTGAATCAGGCGCTGATTCATTTGAACCGAACCCGTTGTTTCGAATCTCTTCGGCTCTGTAAGTGTTTACATCGATCACATCATGATCCAGGTTGACAGACCGCTTTAATGAGATGATTCGGCTTCAACAAAAAGTCTCTTACTAGTAAAACAACAAATTACATTAGTGCAACAGTCTGCATCCTGAAGTAAATATCCCATTCATTTTCTCCACAGAGGTATTAATTGATTTTTAACAATAACCTGTATACTATTAAAGACAGACCTATTCTGAGCTATGAGGTTGTTAATCAATGGAATATGCGTTTGTTAACGCCATCAGCCTGCACAATTTCAACTTATTTTCTAAATAACAGCGAAACTTCTGGTGAAAAACTACATTACCCATGATTCAGCAGGAAATATCCACCGATCAGAGAATAGAAACGAGCAATAAAACTACATTACCCACGATTCCGCAGACAATCTCCACCGATCAGAGAATAGAAATGAGCAATAAAACTACATTACCCACGATTCAGCAGACAATGTCCACCGATCAGAGAATAGAAACGAGCAATAAAACTACATTACCCACGATTCAGCAGGAAATATCCACCGATCAGAGAATAGAAACGAGCAATAAAACTACATTACCCACGATTCCGCAGACAATCTCCACCGATCAGAGAATAGAAATGAGCAATAAAACTACATTACCCACGATTCAGCAGACAATGTCCACCGATCAGTTTGCTGTCTTGTTCTTGCATCTAATGTCATTTCCAGGAAGATTCCTGGATATACTACACTTGATTCTGCAAATGGGTTGTTGTTATATTGTTCATGTAATTTTTTTTAGCTTATCATTGAATTCCAAATGAACCATGGAGGCTTAAATAACAAAATTCAGTTTCTCCAAAACAATGGCTGCCTTTGTCTTCACAGCACCCACATGCCACTTTCTTAAATTTAAGACGGAATATTACTTTTATCATGGGAATTTGTTCTCATGAGTTGTTCTCAATTTTTTCATCTCTATCCATTATCCATCCTCACTGTCTTATCTTCCCATGACCGTAGACATCTCGCATTCATTCATTTCCCATAATGTGCCAAGACCGAACCATGACACCGCCCGTAAAGCGTTTCCCAAAAACCACATTCCATCACACTCGTTTACCGAGCGGTTGTGTGGCCTTTCCGCTTTCTCTTTCTCTCCTCCGTTTCTCCCTCCCCTCATTGTCCTCCTCGGCTGCCTGACAGAAACGTGCTGAATCCGTGCTCGCCTATTTCCATATCAAAAGGTGAGGTATCACCACAGGAGTTATTGGCGGGACCTTTTCGCAGTTATTATGACAAGAATACTATTAGTTCTGTCCAAGTTTGATTGAGGTTTTATTGAGCTATTTTTATAGGGTACACCTTGGTTTTATCTCTTCGTATAGCTCTACCAACCGTAAGAGGCATTATCAGAGAGGCTTTTTTCAGCTTTCAGATGCCGGTGCCAGAATTGCTTTCAACTGTGAGGAGGCATTGTGCACTATTCTTATCAGAAGAACAGGACTTGGTACATAACACTAGTATATGCTTCCTCGTTTTGCTCCAAATGACTCACAGGTTTTGCTTTGTCTGAAAATGCTGATTCACAGTTATTCTCCTGGTAATGAACTACAGTGTTTCAAAATGTATTAAAACAGGAGGTAAAGATGTTTGTTTTTTGAAATTCTGCTGTCAAACTATTTCCGTGTGGCAAAGAATAAAACATTTTTTGATTTGAAGATGATTATGATGCAAATGTGGTGTATTTGGTTTTTTATCTCATTTTCCATATACAGTATGTAATATAATTAAATGAAGAATGATTTCAGTCACAAGTACAAAGCATAGAGTTGTACCCTCCCTTACAAAATCGACTAGTCAGGTCTGATGATGATGGCATCCACTTTAAATGATAAATACGAGTACACAACTTGCAGTCCTTTGCCATATTTCTCAATGCTTTGTAGTTCACAGAGTCATGGTTCTGTGTTCAGTAGAGTGGAAGAATTTGGCTTGAACTGTAGACTCAGCCTCATATGAACTCACTCCATCCCTCCCGTCAGTTCATCGCTCTCCTCCCCCTCCCATCCACTCCCCATACTTTCATTTCTACAGCTTAGCATTCTACAAAAGGGTCAGGAGCGTAAATCACATTATGAATCCCTGTTAAAACTGCTGAAGATTTACAAGATTTTATCTTCAGTAGCAGCTACCTTTTCCTCCCAAGACAGATGTCAGGGGAAATTGGGATTGTGAAATTGATGTAATATTCACGTTCTCAGTTGAGCAGGGAAGGGTGAAAGCCTAAAATGAGTGAGATTTATCCGACATCTTTTGTTGGAATTAATTGGGACTATTTACTATAGCATTGAAAGCTTTTTTATTTTATTTTTTAAAGGTAAACTGATTAATTTCAGTGTCACTAGCATCACCAAAAATGCCTTATTCTGCATGACCATATTTTAGATCCCTTAATTAGGGCTGTGCAAATAATCGAATGATCACTGACAAGCTAATAATCGAATGCGATTTTCATGCGCATCTTGTCAGTAAAGCTGGCATTTACTACAAAGAGCCGTAGATCACTCACAAGCTACGCAAAATATCATTCAAAATCGC